ACAGGCATGAAACTTCAAGACTTAAGCAGAGCAATGGAGGACAGGGGGTCTTGGAGATGTCTCAACCATGGGGTCACCATGATTAATGTTGACTTGAGAGCAGTTAACAACAACAAAGAGGCCTGCCCTGGACCATTCCAACCAGGACTGTGGAATCGGAGTCAGAGTTGGCATTGGAAACAATTTTGGGTGGGATCAAAGTTGGTAAAAATGTGCCAGTTCTGACTCCAACTTCAAACTAAAAACTTACAATCTTATAGCAATGTATTTCCCATATATTGTTTTATACTTATATTTTGTTGTTGTGTGTCTTCAAGTTGTTTCTGACTTATGGTGACCCTAAGCCAACTGTATCATTCTTGGCAAGATTTGTTAAGAGGTGGTTTGCCATTGCCTTCCCTGTGGCTGAGAAAGTGTGACTTGCCAGTGGGTTTCATGGCCGAGTGGGGAATCAAACCCTGGTCTTCCAAGTCATAGTGCAACACTCAAATCACTATGCCATGCTGGCTTCTTTAAAAAAAACACACATAATTAAATGTCCGGTTTGTTGCATACAGGGTGAGTTTCCCTTATCTGAAATGCTTGGGACCAGAAATGTTTGGGATTTTAGATTTTTATTTATTTATTTTGGATTTTAGAATATCTATATTTGCATATACGTACATAATGAGATACCTTGGAGATGGGACTTAAGTCTAAACATAATGTTCAATTTATGTTTCATATACACCTTATACACATAGCTGGAAGATACAACATTTTTAATAATCTTTTTGCATGAAATAAAGTTTGTATATGTTGAACCACCAATGAACATTGTCTTCTTCTGGAACTGGGTGAACCTAGGCGTCTCGCAGGGTTCTTGCGGTGCTAGTATCTCAGCCACCCGTGAAAAATGTTTTGGTTTTTGGAATACAGTCGTCCCTCTGGATTTGATGACTTGCCATTCGCAGTTTTGAATTTCCGTGGATGGGAAGCCAGGAGGGACAAAATGTGCGCACATAGGACTTCACGGCCATTAAAAACAATGGGGCTCCAATATTTGCATTTTTTTCCGATTCATGGGGGCGGGAACAGATCCCCCACAAATCAGAAAGGATGACTGTATTTTGGATTTTAGAATTCTGGATACGGGAGACTCAGCCTGTATTTACTTTCCCAAGAATTTGTTTTTCTGATTCAGAAAACTTTAATCAAATAAATATATTTTATGTTCGGTCAGTCTAAGTAGCCTGAGCAATTTCTGTGTTGTTGTTTTTCGTGCAGTACCTAAAATTAAAGAATTTTGAGGAGGAAGTCCGAGCCCACCGGGATCTTGACGGGTTCCTGGCCAGAGCCAGTATCATCCTGGATGAGACGGCAACCTCTCTGGACGATGTCTTGCGGGAGATGTTGAAACACTTTGCCGAAGACTCTGACAACGCGGAGCCAAGCTGCAACTTTGACAAAATCATGAGCACTTTATTCACCGATTCAGGAACCCCCAGAGAAGGGAACGGTAAGATCAAGGCTCATTCTCCCTGGCTATCAAAGCTGAAGCTTGTGCAAAGTGGCTTTCTGATAATGTTGCCATCTCTTTGGTATTAATTCCACAAGGGTTACAGCTGCTATCTGGAGGATTCTGGTAGCTGTAGTCCAAGAACGTTATCACATACGGTTTTTAAACTGCCATGAAAGTTCAGTGAAAGTGCCTGTAGTGAATATTCTGTCTTGGAGAGTGGTGGAGTCTCCTCCTTTGGAGGTTTTTAAAAGAGGCTGACTGGCCACTTGTCCCAGGGGGTGCTTTGATTGTGTGTTCCTGCATGTCAGGGGGTTGGACTGGATGGCTTTGGGGGTCTCTTCCAACTTCCAAGGTTCTCCTTGCTGTCTTGTCTTTCAATTATTGTTAGCCTGCAGCTTGGCATTGATGGGAATCCCTGTCAATAAGCTCCCAATTGCATTAGTTGTCTGGTGTGGTAAGTTATCCTGTTGCAGTTCTGGAATATTGTGGTCATATAATGTTAGTATCTCCTCCTCCATCCTTTTGCTATTCCAGAATAGCCAGATTTTTATTTTTTTACTGTCTTTTATTTTTTTAAAACCATGGAGTTTAAAACTTCAGAGTTAGCAAAAAAAAAAACTCTTGGAATTGCATTAAAACACACACACACACATTTTCCTTAGTTAAAGCAATCGTGGCAAGAGTGTTATGATAAAGTCCTTTCCCAAGGTATGGAAAAGTTTTTATGTCACTGTCTCATTCATGTCTAAGTCATGTATAGCCAAAGTGGTTATAATTTCTTCCAAAATCAAAATTTTAAATATTTAGTGTCATACATAATTCTAGGTCTCAGTATTTTTGCATTTGTAGACTTTATAAACCATGCCAGCTTATTGTTTCTCAGTCAGTTTCCTTGACTTGCAAAATTAATGTAGTTTGATACTGCTTTAGCTGCTATGGCTCAGTGCTATGGAATTCTGGGATTTGTGGTTTTGTGAGATATTTAGCCTTCTCTCGGGGAGCTCTGGGGCCACAATAAACTACAAATCCCAGGATTCCATTTGGATGGAGTCATGGCAGTTAAACCAGTATTGAACTGCATTAAATCTGCAGTGTGGGCAGAAGCCTAATTGATATATTTCAGCATAGGCAGCTTCTTTTTTAAAATAGCTCTTTGAATCCTCAATATATCTTTTTCTCTCCATCTGAATTCCTCAGCCTATCACAGTCTCCTGTGCATGCTTTTGGATTTGGTCCAAGCAGCTCTTCATGACTTTTCACATCGCTGTTCAACAGGGACTTCCAGAACCTTGTATGGAGCTAGCAATGAACAACAAAGTGGCCGTTCATACTACACAATTGCAGCAATTTTGTTTTAAGTGCTGTGGCTGCATCTTGTGGGATCCTGGGGTTTGTAGTTTGATGAGGCATTAGAACTCTTGGACTGAAATTTCTAAATACAGTGTGCCCTCCACTTTCGCTGAGATTGGGGTGTGGGACCCCCGTGAGAGTAGAAAAGCCACAAATAAAAAACAAACAAAATTTACAAGCCACTATTTTTTAACTAAAAGAACACCTTTAGGAATCTCTAGATCAGGGCTAGGCAACCTTTCCCCTTTAAGGGCCGAGGGACTTCAGTTCCCAGAAGCCTCAGCCATGTTGGCCAATAGTCCCATGTTGGCCAATAGCTCCTGGGATTCTGGGAGCTGAAGTCCCTCAGCCCTTAAAGGGGAAAGGTTGCCTACCCCTGTTCTAGATCCTCTTGTTGTTAACTGCCCTTGAGTCGATCTCAACCCATGGTGACCCTATGGATGAGACATCTCCAAGACCCTCTTTCTTCCACTGCTCTGCTTAATTCCTGCAAACCCATACCTATGGCCTTCTTAATAGAGTCCATCCATCTGGCATGTGGCCTTCCTCAGTCCTCTAGTGTAACTTTATGGTCAACATCCTCTGGAAGTTGACCATAGAATTGCATGGACGACCTACAAATGCCTAGAGAAGTGTTATCCCTAGGAATTTCTAGGTCCTCCAGCAACATCTATGGTCAACTTCTGCCAGAGTTGCGCTGGAGGACCTAGAGAGAACATATTAATCAAATCTGTGAATAATCAAATCTGCAAAATTCAAAGCCATAAATATGGAGGGCTGACTGTATTCCTCCCTAAACTACAAATCCCTGAATTTTGTAGCATGTTGCTATGGTAGTTAAAGAGGAATCATAGTACTAAAACAGTGTTATATGAACGAGTTTCAGATCTTGCCTACCAAGGAAACCTCCCTAACCATCTTTTCCACATTAAACGTTCCCTCCTTTCCCCCCCAATTTTTCTGATTCTTTGTAAAGTAAGACTGCAGTGGTTCTTTCAAGAGTGGCATATCATTGATGGTAATGCTTTAAAAATAATAATAATTTCATCCTCTGTGGTAAGTGGCACAAAGGCTGAAGTAATGCAAGAGCAACCAGTCCTCTTTAAAAAAATGGATAATAATTTTTGAGTTAACCTGTAGACAGTAGAGATGAAGGTCCATTTGTGATGGTTCTTGAATGTAATTGGAGGTACTTTCTTCCCTTCTTTTTCAACAGTTCACCTCTTGTCAGATACAATTCAGGGTGTCACAGCAACAGTCACTGGGGTACAGTATCAGCAGTCCTGGCTTTGTATCATGTAAGTATAATTTCTTCTCAGCATCTCAGTACAAGTTCTCTTTTCATTCTATGTTAAGGCCTCTTATGTGGTCGTGTTCTGCTCAATGTGCACAGAAGGAAAAGCGAGCAAATCTTTTATCTAATAGGACAACGTTTTTGTCAATGGGCCTTAAGTCAACTTCAGCTTATGGCAATCCTGTCGTTTTGGTTGTTACTATATTTATATCCTGCCCTTTTTGCCAGTTCTAGGTCATCCTCTGAGTTTCCATTGGTAAGCGAGGACGAACCCAGGTTTCCTTGAGTCCTTGGGGCTGAACACATGGGTCAAAAGACCCGTGTTCCCCCTGGCCTGGTGTCATCCTGTACGAAAAATGCAGGCGGGGTGGGATCAGCCTCACTGAATGCCGGTCCAGAGGTTCTGGACCGACCCCAGCCCAATGGGCCATTGTCCCAGTTTATATATTAAAACTAGATTTTTGTGGCTAAGTTTCCTGGAAACTCTGCCACGACAGCTGGCAGACTGGACAGCCCTGTGCACCCCTTTCCTGCTGTCACTGTTGCAGTCTCTGTGCTGGCCCCAGTCGCATGCTATGATGGTGGAAGGGGGCGCCTGGCCACGTGGGTGAAGCCAGGTGCCCCATTTCCACTCTTATGAACCACAATGGGGGTCAGGTAAGGGGAGCGCAGTGGTAGCGGCTCCAAGGCGCAGCAGTGGACAAGCATGTGAGCCGCCACTCATCGCTGCACCAGCCGAGGGATGTAGCTGGGCCGGTACCATGGGCAGGATAACACATATCCTGCCCATCTGCATAGACCCCTAGTTCAACCACTCCATGCTGGCTTTCTAGTAAGACAGTGCTAAATGTAAGAGTCAACATGGCATAGTGGTTTGATTGTTAGACTAGGACTCTAGAAACCAGGGTTTGATTCCCAGCTTTGCTATAAAACCCACTGGGTAACCTTGGGCAAGTCACATGCTCTCAGCCTCATGGGAAGGCAATAGCAAACCTCCTCTGAACAATTCTTGCCAAGAAAACCTCATCGTAAGTTTGCCTTACGGAAGTGACTTGAAGGTACACAACAACAACAACAGCAAGAACAAACGTATCAGTTTAGCCTCAGTCAATCAATCTAGCTGAGTACTAACAAAAATAGTAATATAAAAGAATGAATTTAAAAAAACAGTCAGTTTATTAGAACACTAAATATCCTTCTCTGTATGTGGGTAGGTTTTTTAAAAAAACTTTTTAATAATCAGAAAGTAAAGAGAATTTGTTCTGAAATCATAGCGGCACTGGCAAGTAACTGCTTGGGGAACTCTGTAACTAATTGCTTTTTTAAAGTAAGTTTTCAAGTTCTGGTGAATGCATAATAATTCCACTTTCCAGTTTAGAATAGTGAATGATGCTAAATATTTTAGTTAATGGAAAAAGAAATGGGGGGACGTCAGTGTAAATTTATGACATTTTGTGTATATAGTGCTTGTCATTGTTGGCAAAAAGTTATGCTTGAGGAATGAATTAGTTATTTGCTTGATGAATTTCTTCCCCGACGTGAAAATGATACACACTCTGTACATATATATATATATATATATTTAAATACCTTCTCCTTGTGCTCAGGATTTTGAACCTTCTTAAGTGCTGGTTGGAATAGGTTTCCTTCAAAGAAAGTCCCCTTCATTTTATCAAAAATCTGTGTTGTCTTCTGGATGGTCTGCTCAGAGGACAAAGCATGTGTTAGGGCACATCCTATTTCTTTGAATCACAGCTGGCAGGTGTGTTCTGGGAGAGAGGGATTGGATTGAAATGGCATGCTTTTTTCAGCCTAGAAACAGCAAGAAAGGCAGCAGGACAGAGATTTTTGGAGCAACGTAATGCCTAGGAAGGAGATGGAGACGACTGGGAAGGATGACTTCCAAATTAAGCAAGAATAAGGACCGATGATTCCTTTAGGACAAAAGAGTGCCTAAAGGCACATACCTCAGATCAAACTGTATTCCAGTGTCTGAACCAAATGTAGATTTCCTTTGCGGTGAGGTTTTATCAAAGCTATAGAGC